GATTTTTTTCTAAATGCTGTAGATGAATTTTGACTTTGCCATCTTCTGTTGCTTTAAAAATGATAACGAATGACATGCAAATTGACAATCACGTGACCTTTTTAAATGTCCAAAATAACATTTTTTTTTCTAAAAATTGCAAAAAATGGTATTAATTTCATAAATTGCTTGATAAAAAGTTGCTTATTATGAAAATGTTTACCCATATAGCCCGTTAATAGTTAACCTGACATAATTTTTAAAATGTTACTTTGTACTAAAATGTTTTAAATAATGTTTTCTCATACAGTTTAATCGATTAAACTAGATGCACTTAGGATACCCTTGAAAAATATCCTGCTCCTATGACATAATCTCCGTTGCAAAAGTATCCATGTTTGAAAAGGTCCATATATCGTAATAGTAATTCGGTATGCGGCATACGAATTCAGCCTCCGCGGCTGGAGGTGCCGGGATGCAAAAATTCCGATACTGTATGCGTCGCCCGTACCGTGTGAAAAGGTCCATTTGAATGTATGGTCAGCCTGAATCTCGGATACGCGTATCTCGCATACAGTATCTTAGTGTGAAAGCGCTCTTAAGATCTAAAAAAATACATGCTGTGTATTCATTTTTTGAGCCAACGGTGGGATTCGAACCTGGGACCCTTGGATTCCCAGACAGAGACTCTACCACTGAACCACCCACTCCCCTAAATGACGTATAAAACTTTAATAATTCCCCCCATAAAGTTTACATTTTTGTCATCAGTTGGCGTTTAAGTCATGACGCACGGTTCCTCTAGGCAATTTTAAATCAGTTACAGTTCATCAAATTTCTAGAGGTGTTCGACGCCCAGATAGAGAACGCGCTACGTGTGACTAAGATAGCTATTGTACAGTCTGCTAAACAAGTTATTTTAAATAGTTTTTAATATTTTTAGGTAATTAAATTTTAAAAGTGTGGAATAGTTTAGGGATTAAATTGGTCTGATTGGACTTTCTTAGAACGTTTTTAAAAGCAGCTAAAGATAGTATGTAGAATTGAAAATAATTATTATGCCATAAAAGGTGTTTTGGAATTCCTTCAACCTTTTGAAATTGAGTCAGAAAATATAAATTTTATAGGATAGCGGAAAATACCTATAATTTTTTTGTAGGCCTTTGTAAATCGTGAAATAGTTTACACTTTATTTCTACCTTATTAAGGAAAATGGTACCTATTATTAATAACGGTTGTTTCTGAAACATTACTAAAATTTTCTAAATTTTGTTTTTCTACAAAATAATAAACTATACTATTTAGAAAAAAATGTATTTCTCTTATAATTTTATAAAAAATAACAGGGAACTATTTACATTTCTTGATCTATTAAACAAAACGATAAATTATCTCGACGAATGACACCATGTTCTAGTAAGGAAGCTAGCTTTACATTTTTGTTGGTGGTTTCATGGGTTTCATATCAATTTTTTGTAATCGTAGTTTACACGTACATATACCTCTTAACACTTGTTTGCTTTATTAAAAAAGTGTGTTGTTGTGATTTACGTCGAAATAAGTCTAAAACAACTTGAAACCCCATATAAAATCAAAAAGGAGAAACGGAAAAAAATTGAGCCTGTAAATGAACACAACTCAGAAACAAAAATAGCTATCTAATAATAAAAAAATAAAATTTGATTCTTGTGCAGCTTCATCTATATCATTAACTGTTTTTGGTTTTTTAATGGTTTTTCTTGGTGATGAAAATTCCGATATCTCACGGTTATCGATTCTTTTTTTCTCTCCAGAAATGCGGACGACAGTGTTTTTAGATACTCCTGTGGCTGCAGCAACACGATCATTTACATTTTTAAATGGTATTGAAGGTGAATTAAAGTTTCCTTCTCTTCTCATAAACTCTATAACATTGGCTATTATTTCGCGAGATTGACTGTTAATCACGCGGCCTCTTAATTTGCTATTAAACTCCATACTTAGGTTCTATTAAACTGTAATGAGCAACAAACACAAACGAAAATAAAAGAAATGTTTTAGCGAAATTTACATCTGACATTTACGTCTGAATGAAATAGTGAAATACTTAATGCGCAGAGTGTACTTTCATTGCGTAAATCCGTCGGGATGCTTGTCAGTAGTGCTTTCTCTGTCTAGCCGTCGAAAGCCTCTAGAAATTTGATGAACTGTACTTGAAATGTGACCAAGTCAAAGGTGGTCAAGGTTCTTAAAGGCGATTTTAAATCAGATACTATGTCTTGAATATGATTAACTACACTGATATAAATCAAAAACAATGACGTCATATTGAATATTGTCTTGAAATAGTCAAGTTGAACATGACTACAGTAAAAACGTGGTCACCTCTGGTGGTCATCACAGGTATGAAATGTCAAATGAAATGACAAATGTAAAACTTTTACTTTTTAATTATTAAATCATTGTTTGGTTGTGTTATTTGTAAAATAGAAAGAAAGATTTACGAAAGGGAAAAGTGGGACAATGGTGACGATAGGGTATCAGGTTAAAAAAACAGATATAATATTTATAAAATAAGCTCCTTTTTTTGTAGAGATTTAAAAAAAGGTCCTCCGCTTATATTTACTTAAACCTTTTTCTGAGCTTCTCAAAAACAGGTCAAACATTGTCAAAAATATTATATATAACTTTGAATTTAAAAAACGTAGCAATAAGGTAAAATGCGTAACGCGTGCCAGCAAGTTAAAAAGCGGGACAATTACGCCTAAAGCGCGACGTCTGGCAACCCTGGTTGAGTACCTAGATATGGACGCATTTAAGATTTCTGCAAATGAAAAGCCAATTTATTTTCAAGGTAGGATTTATTAATGAACATGGATAAGTTTTGATAAAAAATCAGAGGCCAAAGTAACTATAATACCAATTTTCTCTTCATCCATGATCAGTAAACAAAACAAATATTTATTTTTTATCCCTACAAATTCAAAAACAAATCCTACTACTATTACATAACATACAAACAAAAATTCATGATACCTGCCAATGTTATACCCATGGTGAAGTTAGTGTCAATATAAACCAAACATTTTTAAATCAGATTATTAGAACGTCATTATAATGACGTAAGAACCTTGACCACACTTGGACTTGGTCACATTTCTAGTAACTGATTTAAAATCGCCTTAAGTCATTATAATGACATTCTATTAATCTGATCAACGTGATCCATAGGATAAACCCAGTAATCTAGATTTGTTATCTATAGTAGGATTCCGAAAACGCCTAATGTTTGGTTTATATTGACACTAACTTGACAATGCGCATGATATTGTCAGATATCGCGAATTTTTCTTTGTGTATTATGTATTGTAGTTAGGATTTGGTTTTGAATTTGTAAGGATAAAAAATAATTTGTTTTGTGTATTGATCATGGATGAAGAGAAAATTGGTGTTGTAGTTGCTTTGGCTTCTGAAATTTTATCAACCCTTTTGCCATGTTTATCAACAAATCTTGGCTATCTTGAAAATTAATTGGCATTTCATTTACAAAAACCTTAAATGCGTCCATATCTAGGTACTCAGTTAGGGTTGCCAGACGTCTCCCTTTAGGCGCAATTGTCCCGCTTTTAAACTTGCTCGCACGCGTTACGCCAAAGTACGAAAATGCCCCGCATTTCACTAAAATGCTACGCTTTTTAAACCCAAAGTTATATATAAAGAAATTTTTGACAATTTTTAATCTTATTTTTTAAAAAGCTCCTCAGAAAAAGAACTTGATGGTTTATAAAAATATAAGCGGACAACCTTTTTTTTTTAGATCTCCACAAATAAAGGAGCTTATTTTATAAAAATACCTGTTTTTTAACCTGACTCCCTGCTGTCGTCACCGTTGTCCAACTTTTCCCTTTCATAAATATGGCAACCCTATACTCAGCCTTTCTTTCGATTTTACAAATTACACAACCAAACAATAATTTAATAATTAAAAAGTAAGTTTTACATTTGTCATTTCATTTGACATTTCATACCTGTGATGACTACGTCACAGTATATAGCTAAAGAATCAGTTCGCTCCACATACTTTGATTACTATACGGGGCAAGAGAGAGGTCCGACAAGCCCAACATAGGGCGCGGCCATTTTGAACCCTATGACACAGTTTATAGCTAAAGAATCAGATCGCTCACTCTGCGTCGGCACTTTTGATCTCAATGTTCCAGTTTATACATTGCGCAACTCGGATTTGTATCCCTGGCGCATAAGGAATCAAATCATAATAGCCCAAGAGCCCACAACAAATTTTTAACGTCATCTGATAACGAAATGAAATATATCCCAAAAGCATGTAAAAACATTGTACCTTACCAAATAGCACCTGTGCAAAGCAAAGTGGTTAAAAAAATTATTTTATATTAAAAAAATCCCATAAGGCATGACTACGCCAAATTTTGTTTGCCCTTACGAGTTTTCCAGAAAATAAAATATTCAAATATATCTCCTTCTTCTTAACATCGAACAAGAACATCTATCCACGATTAGGTTCTCTTACTATAATCAAATACAATATATGACAACCGCCTATATTCAAACAGCAGTATTCTGCGCATTTGAATTTGAATCCCTGGAGTGGATGTTATTTTGGAACATCCAATTGGTCCGAGTGAACTAACTGATTCTTTAGCTATAAACTGTGATCACGTTTTTACTGTAGTTATGTTATGTTAAACTTGACCATTTCCAGCAATATTTAATATGACCTCATTGTTATTGATTTATATTAGGGTATCTTATGTGCTTTAAGATTAGTGTAGTCATTCATTTCAAGACAAAGTATCTGATTTAAAATCGCCTGCTTTTAGCTAATTTTTAATTAATGAGTAAAGACCCAGTATAAAAATAAATGTTAAAATTGACAATTACGAAATTTGAAAAATTTATAACTGTCAAGATGTAAAAATGACTACATTATTTAGGGCTCATATTGTAATTACGTAGCGAATCATAGCAGAATATTGCAATTAAGTATAATTTTTTATTTTTAGGCAAAAGAATCGTACTGCTTGGAGCAGAGAAAACATGATACTGTTGCCTTAGAGAAGCTTGAAAGTATTAAAAATGTTATTGAAGAATGTGATGATTTAAAAAAAAAATTAGAACGGTCGCAGGAAGAATTAAACCAATTAAAGGTATGTAAATCATTATTAAGAATAACTTACAGAAATAGACAAAAGTAAAGTAGCCCATTATTTTTTTTTATTTATCGCCATACGATTACAATCCGTTTTTGGTTAGATTATATTTTATTATATTTAATATCGCCCCCTTAGTGCAACAACTAGATAACGCGAAATTTATGCATTTTGAGTTATCCAGTTAAATCTGTCCTATTTTTCATTCTCTTTTCAATGCAACAACTGGATATCATGTACGAGCAACCAAACTTATTTAAAGAGTGACTAAAAACAGATAACTCCCAATATATACATTTTATAACTATACTCTGTTTTTAAACTAGGAGGAGCGAATTGAAAAGACGCATTTACACAGGGAAAAGTAACTAGATTTGTTACTAAGAGCGAGTTTCAAAATAAAGTCGTGTTCAAAATTTATTAAATAATTATCTTTATCGGCCTTACTCGGTGAACGGCCAATGAGCGGTTAAGAAACGAATAAATGTCATAGAAGTAATTTTTTAATTGGTCCCAGACAACAGTCGCAAATTTCACATTATTGTGATCTGAAATGTGTGTCTAAAACGAAATGTCACTGTCAAATTAAAGTCAATATGGTTGTTGATTGATGTCAGAAATACTTTTTTCTTGCTTTTGAAATCGACTTTTTGAGAATAACTATGATCTTTTTAAAATGGATATTAAATATTTAAGAAAATTGTTAATGGAATATCCAGATGTAGCCAGGTTAGTATAAAATATAAAGATCTGTTTACATTTTTAAGGATATTATTTGTTATAGGTATAAAAAGTAAAAGTTAATCAGTGAATGACAAGTGGATCACACAGTAACTGGTATCTCTTCTATGAGTAATGTGTATATTATGGCTTATTTAGTGTTAACCCATGGTTAATGCGCTAGAGGGCAAATAAAGGCATTCAAAAGTTTACAGGCCTATGAGTCAGAATTTGTTTTGAAAACTGGAACCAACATTTTCATAACACTACATGTCAACATATATTTTTTAAAGTGAACTATTCATACATACCTATGTATTAATTTTAAGTATTTTTAAAATATTTTTTGTGAAAGTAATGTTAACTCATTGTGCCAAATTAAGATTGTCCCTAAAGTAGTAGATGGTGTTTTAAATGTTATAACAATTTTGTAAATAGTTTTATTCTATTCTAATAAATAAAATTTGCTTGAATATTTATTTACGTTTTAATCATTTTGGTTAGAAATTCATCAATTTTTAGTTTTAAAAAATCAGTAATAAAATTATTTTTTCCTAAAATACTTTGGAATTCATCTCTTCATGGTAATCTCCCATCTTTTTACCTTCAAAAACCAATAATGCATTTTCTACAAAACTTTCAGAATCAGCATGTAAAATAATAAGGTATCTTCCCTTTCTTGTAAGGCTTTTCAGGAATTGCTACCTTTAATAGTAGAAGTATCCATAATAGTAGATTTTTCAATACAATTGCTTACTGAATAACTATTATTTACGAAATAAAGTAAAAAACTGTAATGGATGAGATATCAAATTATAAAATGTCAGAACTGTCAACAATATCAATTATTAGCTGATGTTCATGCTAAAAAGTAATGTGTGAAACTGACTGTAATCTGACCAATCAGAAGGCTACAGAATTGCCAACTTAAATTGAAATCGCTCCTCTTAGTTTAAAAACAGAGTATAGACATCTTGAGATATCTAGTTGTAGCACTGGCATTATTATCCGCCGGCACCTTCTTGGTCGCTATGAGATATCTAGTTGTGTGCTTAAACAACAGGTTTGTTTCTGGGCTCCTAAATTGTTTTTACGGTGTTTTTTAAACAGTGTTAATGCAAAAAATGACGTCAAGGGGAAAGAATATTTTAGAAATTTTACGTGGCCAATTAGAAAATGATGCAGGTGTGTCAAAATCTATTTAAATACATCCAAAGGAAGTATTTAGGGTCCGATCTTAATATTACTATCATGTACATAATGTATAAAGAGGATTGTACAGAAAAAATATACCTTTCGCAAGTTCGTCAATGTACAGGAAGATATTTTGTGAAAAATATAACTTGGGTTTTTACCGTCTGAGAAAGGACCAGTGCGTACATGTATGAGTTACAATATACCCAGTAGCATTAAAACAGAAATTATAGAAGCTAATTATCAAGCACACCTTGCTGCCAAGGATAGAACCCGGGAGGAAAAAAGGTTCGACAAGAAATTAGCTAAAACCTCCATCAAAAATATTTTATGTTCCTATTTTGATCTCCAACAAGTTCTCATGGTTCCTATTGAACCGTCGAACAATGCATTATTAGTTGGAGGTAAACGTGAGAGTTGTGAAATTGCTAGTTGCCTTTAAACACATTATTTGCTACAGTGATAGATGTGGAGGACAAAATCTCAACAAATATGTGGCAGCTATGTCAGGAAATTCCACACTTGCAAACCATCGAACTAAAATTTCTTGTCGTTGGTCATAGTGAGATGGAATGCGATTTAATGCATTCTGCTAAATCTACAGAACTAAAAAGAGTTGAAAAGCAAACTGGCCTAAAGATTGGAAAACTGTAGCACGCTCTGCAAGAAGAAGAGGTGATAAACCCTATTTGGTTCACGATGTTAGACATAATCAAATTCTTGACTGGAAAACTTATGCAGACCCAAAATTAATATTTAGAAAAGAAGATGAAAGCTATAACTTGGTTAGTTAGCAGAAAATATGCTAGTTAAACTTTTCAAAATCGACCCCATTTATTATTAATTTTATAGAAGATTTTGATGGGCAGTTTAGACGACTAAATTGTAAACGTATAACACGTATGTTGTCTTCAAATAATACCCAAGAGCCTTTGTATCAAAGTCAACTACCACTTAAAAAAATATGACGACCAAAATGAATCTTCCGGCCCTCCCTAGGGAGTATAAAGCCTTTTTGAAAGTCTTCCATTCCAATGAGACCAACATAAACGGCCTCAAAACATGGAAGATTCCCAAACCGACATAATTAATATTGACACTTAAGTTGTATCAAGGGTGGAATCTTTTGGGTTTTATTTACACTAGTCTTGTTAATTTTTTATTCCAAATAAAGTTGTATTTAGTAGGTGATTTGCGTTTAATTGTTAGTGGTTATAAATAGATAAATTTACTCTTTTTTCAGCAACAACTAGATATCTCAAGTTTTTGATTAAATTCTGCAAAGATATAAAAAATAATTGTTTCCAAAATTAACAAATCAGAATGTGAAATGTAACATATCTGTATAGATATTAAATATTTTTAATTACTTAACAGGTGTATTTTTTTGCGTTTTGAATCTTTAAAGTGGATTTTCTCAAAACTATAAATTTCAAGTTATCTAGTTGTTGCACTAAGGAGACGATATACTCTCCCTAATTCAGCCCCTTACGAGTGAATTGCAACCACGGAAGTTGACTAAATGACTTGTGTAGGGGAATAGACGGATATTATTATTTGCCGTGGCGCTCCGGGCCGACTTAAAGATGATTGATGGTGCCATTTGACTTTGAGGAAAACCCGGAAAACCTCACCCACCATCATTATGGGGACAACCATTGAATTTATATGATCTGGGGATTTTGTTTGCTTTGGGTTTCATTAAGCGTCACTAGATGAGGTTCTGCCAAAACGTCAAAAGTTCAAGGGCTGGAATAACTACCAAACATGTCAGAGTTTATTTTGAAAATCTTCGAAACTCAATAGATAGTGTCGGTTTCTCCAATATCGTCAATTACGACGAAACCAAGTTGACTGACGACCCAGAACGAAAAAGGATAATTTCAAAGCGAGAAATGAAATACCCGGAAAGGGTAACGAATCATAGTAAGTCGGACAGCTACCTTAAGTTTGCAGCCGCAGCTGATGGAACAATTGTACCTCCTTTGGTCGTGTATAGGGCCAAGCATATGTACGAAAATTGGAAGATAGGGAGTCACAAGGTGCTCGTTTCTATTCAACCCCCTCTGGATGGTTTGACAGCAACTGCTTCCAGGATTAGATTGAGACCATTGCCATTTCGTATTTTCGAAACTTGTCCGAAAAAAAGTGTTAATAGGGGACAATCTTTCTTCGCACATTTCTTTGGAATCTGTAGAGAAATGTGAAGAGCACAACATAATATTCGTGTTTCTACCAGCGAATTCCAGCCACATGATTCAGCCTTTGGATGTGGCTTTTTTCGCCTCTTTAAGGAGGCTTGACGTAAGATATTAACTGACTAAAAAAAGTTACGGGCCGAAGAGAATCGAGCATTCCAAAAACCACATTTCCTTATCTTAAATTATTGTTGGAAGCCATTAAACCTAATGCGGCTAAAAATGTTAGGTAGGGTTTTCGAAAATTGAAATTGTTCAAATTAATCCAGAAGAAATATCATCAAGACTACCAGTATAGGTTCACAAGTTCCGGAAAATGATGCGGAAGTTTTAACAAATTTGGTAATTGATATTTTAAAAGCATTAAGATACAATAATCTGCTTAAACCAAGGCAACAATGGAAAAAGGTTAAAGTTTCACCAGATGGAAGTGTAGCAGGAACAGATTTTAACAAAACCAAATCTAATGATTCCAGCAATATTGAAAATATTTCCCTTTAAAGCACACCAAAAGAAGATGAGACGCAAAATCATATGGAAGATGACGTAGAAAGTCTTCTGATGTTTCTCAAGGACCAAACGCCAGTAGTGTCAGTGAACACCTTTGCCCCATTGAGTGTTCTGTTACCAAGAATGGTAAAACGTTTGAAGGTGTGTTTCCAGTTTCAGTGCAGTCTATAAAAATAGACGATTGGATATTGATTCAATTTTTTTAGTCAGAAATACACTTATAGAGTTTAATCCATAGATGAAAATTACACCGCAATTTTCTTCGAGTGAAGCCTTCGATACAAAGACAGCCAAATAAAACATTTTTTGTTTATCCAGACATTCCAGATGTGACCGAATTCAGTTTCGACCAAATTATTGATAAAGTTTAGGACCCTGAAAAGGGCCGAAGAGGCATTTTGACATTTCGAGTGGACGACACCAAGTGTAATTATGTGTTTTTTTTTTATAGAAATGTATATTTTGTTTTAAAGAAAAAAATTACCTCTTAATTTGTGTTTTTATTTATAGATATTTACCTTTAAATATACGAATTTCAATTATTTTGTAGTGTAAAATGTTTTTTTTTTTTAATATAAAATGTGTTACCTTCCACCTCTTAGACAGTGTGAAAGCCAAAACACGTAGAACCAAGCAATTGTTATTCACAAGGTGAATCGCAAAACACTCTGTTTTTTTAAAAAAAGGACATTTACAAAAAAGTTGAATATTTTCGATTTGCAGGGATGAAGGTGAAGGTAAGAAAAGGGTTTTGCGCTAAAAACAAGTCAAACCGTTCTACAGTTATTATACAACCAGAAATGTTGAAAAGTGTTGTTATTCACCCCATTTTACGGTATGTGGCTTGTCGATGATCTAATTCTAATACCTCGTATATGAAAAAAATTCAAATTTTACTTTTTCACGCTATTCGAAAATTATTGGCGCAAGAAATTTGGGCAATGCTATAACCCGTATTGCAGTCATAGCACTTATAAACTAAAAAATCTTCTATAAAATACCGATCTATTCAGTTATTAGAATTAGACCATCGATGTAGGTGCAATATTTTCAAAAAAATGCGTTAATGTTCTCTAAGCCTTTTGGATAAACTATTCTAATATAATAAAGAAGACATTATTTCAGTGTCTTGTAATGGTATTTGAGGAGATATATTAACTAATTATTAAGATACAGTAAAATCATCAATAAAAGGCTTATATAGCGGCTCTTGAACGAATGTTTACCAGTTAAACTAGGCAGTCCAAACCATTGATATTATAGGGTCTAAACATTGTTACGGTGGTTTTTGATAACTCAATTTATTTCAACGCAACTTTAAAACTGAACAGAAAACATCTATCATAAAACTGAAACTCTGACGTCAGGATCATCGACTTGTATAGCTTGCTTGAACTTTCTAGAACCTTCTCAAACCGTCCAGATATGCCATGACACAGAATGATATTTCTAGACATTTCTAGATTATTCTCTTCTCTTCTTTTAGTTGTACTTATGTCGATCGCAGCATACTCTAGGGTGACGTGCATTGCACTCCTTTTTTTATTCATACGTTTCCTGTAATAGCCGCCGGCTACTGCAGGGTGCAGGGTAACAATATTTTAGCACAGAAAGGCTGTATACTGATACTTAACGGATTTCGGCATAACATACGGTTTTATCGCAATTGGAGGTTCTTTTTAGAGATTTTTTATATGACTGGTTTATAGACTAATCAATTACTTTTACCTACAAATATAAATAAAGACCAACTTCTCATCTGATGAGAAGTCTATAAAAGGTTTCCGAAATAATACGATTCATTTTCTCGTTTTCCATTTTAGAAAGACAATGAATTCATTAAACCGATATTCATCCAGCATGATCAGGCAAGTGAAACTGAAAAAGAAACCGATAGCTTGAGCATATACAATCTAACACCAAAAGCTAAGACACAAATCATCACAAGAGATATGCAAATAAAAAAGAAATTCTCTGACCAACTTGCCAATGCACATAAAGAGAACTTGGTTCTTAAAGAAAAATTATCAAATTTTGAATGTTTATTTAGTAAACTTGGAATTTGCGATTTAAGTAATATTTATATTGAAGAATTACAAATTAAATTGCAATGTCTTAAAGAAACTACGAGAGAAAGAGATAATTTAAAAAATAAAGTTGAAATTTTGGAAACTCAATTGAGCTCTTATAATTATGTACTTGAAGATATTGAAGTTTTTAAGCAACGGTCTTTATTACTGGATGAAGTGTTACATGATCGTGACCGTTTAAGTAAACGAGTTGAGCAATTGAGAGGTTTAGATGAAGAAGTTATTAATCTTAGAAAAAAGGCTTTAAGGGTAGACCAATTAGAGGATGACTTAAGGAAAATTTTGAAAGATAAGCAAATTGTCGAAGAAGAGGTTGATCGACTACGAGGAAAATGTTCAATTACAGGTATCAAAATACTTTTATTTTTATTTTTTAACAATTTATCATTTTCATCTTTTTTTATCTTTTTTTTTTTATATTCAAAAAAGTTAATAAAATACGGCCACGGTCACGAATGTGTTCCCAGTTAGTTTCAAAGATAGTGAATCTGGATCAATAACTGCGACATACCTGGAGAATTATCCTTCTTATGATTTATTCTGGTAAAATTCCCCCAAAATTCGTTTTAAAATCCTAGTTGCTGCTTTTATGAACAATTCATCCGTCTTATAGCAGCAAAATGCATATCTCATCCTTATTTGGTTGGTGAGCAGTGAAGAAAAATTTGAAAAGTCATATATGGCTAATTCTCAAAAAAAGTCGAAAATGGTTTCAAAAAATTTTCAAATTATTTTTAACAAAACATATTTTCTTCAACCGTCCGCTCTAGTGTATGTTATCGAGGCCAATGTTGCCAACTACAAAAAAACTTGAAGTGGGGCTTGGTAGGCCTTTTAATTTCCCTCCAATCACACTGTTTCAAAACGAGAGATTTTTCAAGGACAAATTTATTATATTTAAAAATATTTCCATTCACATTTTTTAAAATATGAACTCATGTAGGTACAGTCAATACTATCCTATATAAGTAAAAAATAAGATAACAAACAATTAGTAAGGAATTTTACGTTTTAAGTTAATAATTATCTTCGAATTTAGCAGTTGGGATATAGTGAGGGAATGATTTTCAGAGTACTTTCTTGGACATATCTTTTTTGTTTATCATAATAAGAAATAAAGTTTCATAAATTAGTACATCTAGTACAGCAGTTATATTAAAAAAAAAACTTTTCATAATTGACGATCCTGGTTTATAGAAATCATTAAGGGCATCAATTTTGATATTTTTTTAAGAATCAGCCTGATATATACTTTTAAAATTTTGAGCTAACGGGATATTTATAGAGTTCAACGAGAAAAGTTTATTGTCGCAAACCGCATATTCATAGCTCAAACGGTTGTCTAATTAGGGGCGGTTGAGATTGAGTACGAAGCTATAAATGAAGGTCCTTTATTTATCAGAAAGTTAATTTATTGGCGACCGGTTTCGAAGTGACTCATCATCAGGCACACCTAAATGGAAAGTCATGGAGTCAATGTATTGAAAGGTGAAAATTATTTATGTTGAGTAGACTCCGTTTACTCTTTTCACTCCATATCTAACTTCACATCACTGAATTACATTGATTTGACATGGATTGAAGTTAGTTAAGGAATGAAAAGAGTAAAGTGGACTCCTTTCCGAACTAAACGTTATACAAAAAAGAAATTTGAATAACAAAAATAAAACGAAAGGGCAAAAAGGATAATAATAATTTGACTTACCATGACATATCCATTAAGGATAAGCTACGTATATATATTTTTATTTTAAAGATTTAAAAAACCAAACTAAACTAGGTGCATACTTAAGATTGAAGAAACCGAAAACAATATTTTAATTTATAAACATTTTAAATTTTTTATGAAATCAGGATTGGACAAATTAAAATGGAAGGGAATTATTAAGTTTTTATAGAGATAACATAGTAAAACCAATGATCTACCATCTATCAAATAAATTAACAACTAGAGAGTAGGTATCTGTAATCTAGTGAATATATTTACCTGATATTTACCGAAAGCAAGTATTTGCCCAAATCCGAATGGGCATTTGTAGATTCAATTTTATATTAATTTTCTACTTGTATTCATCAAGGTTTTGAAACGACATTTTTTACTTTCCTATTGTATACAGATAAGGAAAGTATAGGAATCATGATTTTTTCGACCTCGAGTTTTCGACGGATTTTTACGTTTTAGGGTCTCCTCTGAATACGTTTTGACTATTTTCGCGATGATGTCTGTGTGTATTTGTGCGTCTGTGTGTCTGTGTGTCGGTGTGTCGGTGTGTCGGTGTGTCTGTGTGTCTGTGTGTGTCTGTGTGTCTGTGTGTCTGTGTGTCTGTGTGTCTGTGTGTCTGTGTGTCTGTGTGTCGGTGTGTCTGTGTGTCTGTGTGTGTATGTGTGTGTCTGTGTGTGTCTGTGTGTGTCTGTGTGTGTCTGTGTGTGTCTGTGTGTATCTGTGTGTATCTGTGTGTATCTGTGTGTATCTGTGTGTGTCTGTGTGTGTCTGTGTGTGTATGTCTGTGTGTGTCTGTGTATGTCTGTGTGTGTCTGTGTGTGTCTGTGTGTGTCTGTGTGTGTCTGTGTGTGTCTGTGTGTGTCTGTGTGTGTCTGTGTGTGTCTGTGTGTGTCTGTGTGTGTCTGTGTGTGTCTGTGTGTGTCTGTGTGTGTCTTTGTGTGTCTGTGTGTGTCTGTGTGTGTCTGTGTGTGTCTGTGTGTGTCTGTGTGTGTCTGTGTGTGTCTGTGTGTGTCTGTGTGTGTCTGTGTGTGTCTGTGTGTGTCTGTGTGTGTCTGTGTGTGTCTGTGTGTGTCTGTGTGTGTCTGTGTGTGTCTGTGTGTGTCTGTGTGTGTGTCTGTGTGTGTGTCTGTGTGTGTGTCTGTGTGTGTGTCTGTGTGTGTCTGTGTGTGTCTGTGTGTGTCTGTGTGTGTCTGTGTGTGTCTGTGTGTCTGTGTATCTGTGTGTCTGTGTGTCTGTGTGTCTGTGTGTCTGTGTGTCTGTGTGTCTGTGTGTCTGTGTGTCTGTGTGTCTGTGTGTCTGTGTGTCTGTGTGTCTGTGTGTCTGTGTGTCTGTGTGTCTGTGTGTCTGTGTGTCTGTGTGTCTGTGTGTCTGTGTGTCTGTGTGTCTGTGTGTCTGTGTGTCTGTGTGTCTGTGTGTCTGTGTGTCTGTGTGTCTGTGTGTCTGTGTGTCTGTGTGTCTGTGTGTCTGTGTGTGTGTCTGTGTGTCTGTGTGTCTGTGTGTGTGTCTGTGTGTCTGTGTGTCTGTGTGTGTGTCTGTGTGTCTGTGTGTCTGTGTGTCTGTGTGTCTGTGTGTCTGTGTGTCTGTGTGTCTGTGTCTGTGTGTCTGTGTGTCTGTGTGTCTGTGTGTCTGTGTGTCTGTGTGTTTTTGTGTCTGTGTGTCTGTGTGTCTGGGTGTCTGGGTGTCTGCGTGTGTTTGTGTGTGTCCACGATAACTCATGAACGGATACAAAGAAAAACACGAAATTTTAAAATTATGCTTTATTCCGGCCTGCAATGAACTGATATTTTGGGCAAAGTCGGAACATCTGGAGGGTACTTTATAAGAGGTAATTTTTATATTTTATGGAATATATCTCTTATTTACATTTTTATAAGAAAATGCTTTAAATAAAAGTTACTTATAATATTATTTTCTAAATCTAAATCTCGAATTTTGAAGAAAACTCAAAAACGGATAAACAGAAAAACAATAAATTTTAAACTTAAGCTTTATTACGGCTTGAAGTGCACTGATTCTATCTATCTGAATTAGAGCATGGTTCAAAGCTTACTTGTACTGAAGCTCTAGGCTTATTGTACCCCTCACAGTTTCTATCCCATCAGATTGATTTTCTTGATGAATTCAAGAATATGTCTGATGGGCGCTTTTGCGATTTCTTCAGGTTCCGGATATTGTACCCCGAAGTACCATTCCCCATACCATAATTTACATAGGGAGTCATCAGATATCCCTAAGAGATTTAGGTGTCTTCTAAGGCCGCAGTGTCCCGTAAGGAGTCCTATTACGGCTTTGAGTTCGCTTCTGCTAAGGTTTAGCAGTTGATGTTGTCTGCTCGCGGATGGCCCCTCTATGAATCTTTTGGACTGTCTAAGTCCAGGAAGTTCCATTCTGAGCCTATGGTGTTCTGGTGTTTTATTTGTTCCTTTAACACCCATTAAACATGTTGGTATGAGATACCACATGTGGGTTCTGGTCCAATAAGAGTTTTTTCCGCTCCCATCCTTGCTAGGAGGTCTGCTTTCTCGTTTCCAAACACTCCCTCATGTCCTGGCACCCATTCAAGGGTGACCTTGTTATGTTCTGCCAGAGCTTGGAGGGACTTTTGGCAATCAAATATTGATTTAGATTGTACCTCTATCCTTTTTAGTGCTTTAAGGGCTGCCTGACTGTCTGTCATGATAAAGATCCTCTTATCTCTAAGAGAGTCATTTAGCATGACTCTATTGCTGTTACTTTAGCCTGGAAGACTGTTGTCAGTGACCCCAGGTTCAAACTAATTGTCCTCCCTGAGTTCACGTGGTAGATCCAAGCTCCTGTGCTATTTTTCATTTTCGAACCGTCTGTATACCAGATTGATTCGTTTTGTTTTTCCCTATTTTCCTAGCTTTTGGCCCTTTCTGGTATTTGAATATCAAAAGGTTTCCTGAAGTCGTGAATAATGGGCGTTCTATCCGATGGCATTCTTAGTACCGGATTTTGTTTTAATTTCTCTAATATTATTGTGTGGTGCCCTTTTCTCGAAAGTTCCCATCCAAATCCATAAGTAAACAGCCTGTATGCCGCCGCCATAGCCTCCTTCTCCACCACAAGGTGTAGTGGAGGAAGACCTAGCAGTAGCTCCATTGCTGCTGTGGGCGTAGTTCTAAATGCCCCTGTTATTATTAGACAGGCTAGTCTTTGTACCTTGTCTAATTTTCTGTTAGCTGTTATGCTTTTAGTCTTGTGCCACCATATTACTGATGAGTAAGTTATGACAGGTACTACAAGCATAGTGTAAAGCCAGTGCATCATACTTGGTCTAAGCCCCCATGCGTTCCCTACCATCCGTCTACAGGCCCATAGTATTCTTACAGCTTTTTCTGTTGTTTTTTATATATGGCTGCAGAAGATATTCCAAGATATTTTACCTCCTTTGCCATTTTTAGATGTTGTCCTCACATATAAAGCTCCTTCATTCCTTGAAGGTTCCTTTTTCTTGTGAATACAACAACAGAGGTTTTTGTCGGGTTTGTGGACAATCCCTCTTTTAGGCACCATCTTTCCACGATATTTAGTGCACGCTGCATCCTTTCGGATACAACAGTCCCAAATTTACCGTTTACTACGATGCTTATGTCGTCTGCAAATGCTTGCGTGTATAAGTTTCCTCTTTCTAACTCCCATAAGAGGTCATCAACCACCAAGGTCCACATAAGAGGAGATAACACTCCTCCCTGCGGGCATCCCTTGTTAACTGAGACCTCTCTTGTTGTGTTAAGGAGATTACTGGTAATGGTTCTATGATTAAGCATGAACTCTACCCACCTTGTAATGCAGTGGGCTACTCCACGCCTTTGCATAGATCCCAGTATTGAATTGTATGAAGCCGAGTCAAAGGCTCCTTCTATATCTAGGAAGACTCCTAGTGCTATTTCTTTGCTTTCCAATGCTTGTTCAGCCTGTTGAGTTAGCCTATGTATGGCTGCATCGCAAGACTTTCCAGATTGGTAGGCAAACTGGTATCGATGTATTGGTTTATCCCGTAGAACATCATCCCGTATATATCTATCGATCAATTTCTCCAATATTTTTAGGTTTGGTCTCTTCGTATGACGCTTTCCCGGGTTTGGGAATGAAGACCACTCTTGCACACCTCCAGCTTTGTGGAACATATCCGAGGGCTATGCTAGCTCGGAATAGTTTACACAGTGGTCCCTCCAGTACTTCCTGGCCCTTTTGTAGAAGTGCGGGGATTATATCATCAGGTCCAGCTGTTTTGTATGGTTGAAAGGAATTTATCGCCCACAAAAGTTTTTTTCTGTTTACTATTGAGTTTGCAAGAGACCAGTTTGTTTTTGAGGCCCTAGAAATTAGTGCCTCAGTACTCCTGTTCTCTTGGTCAAGAATAATCTTACATCCAGGAAAGTGTGACTTTAGTAGTAAATCTAAGGTCTCCTCCTTGTTGATTTTTCAGAGATCCCATGCATCCTTGCTTATCTCTCTGTAGAGTTTTCCTGAGTCTGGCACATTCTGGAAGGCTTTCAATGCCGTCACAGAATTTCTTCCAGGAATTTTCTTTGGCTTTCCTAATGGCATAGCCATATTCTCTCCGGTACGCCTTATAGGCTTCCCAGTTCCCCGACCTTTTAGACAGGTTGAAGAGTTTACGAACTTCTGCTTTTTTTTTGGAAAGGTCTCGATTCCACCATACAGCGTCTCGATCCTCTTTCCTAATTTTTAAAGGACAGTTTTTTTCAAATGTGTTGGTTAGGGTTCGTGTCAGAAACTCTGACATAAACTCAACTTCCACTAAATTCTTCGGTATCGGAGGACAGTCCTCCAGTCCCTGTTTGAGTTCTTCCTTGAAAGCTTCCCAGTTACAGGTCCTAGGATTACGATATGTCTTCTCACCCGAGGTATTAGTACCCAGCTCAAACAGGATATGTCTATGGTCGGAAAGTGACGCTTCTTGTGAGACGTGCTACTTCCCCACCAATGAACATGCCCGTTGTGTACGCAGGGTTATATCAATTACCTCCCTTCGCACAGATGTTATGAAAGTTGGTTCATTTCCAACGTTTGCAACTTCTAGTTTATTGGATGCAATAAATTCCAGAAGAGCTTCTCCTCGGTTATTAATGTCAGTGCTCCCCCATACTATATGGTGAGCATTGGCATCACACCCTAGAAGAAGTTCGATTTTGTTTTTTTCACAATGACTAACCAGTTCTCTCACCTCCTTGGTGGGGGGGAGCACAGGTTGGTCATATGGTAGATATACGGATCCAACAATCAGATTAGTTCCTCAGTCTAGCTTTAGGGTTATTGTCACTAGGTCATTTGTACAAAATTCCCATAGTGGAAACACCTTCAAGCTTTTATTTGCAATAATGCAGGTTCTTGGGTGTCCAGACACTGAATAAATCAGGTCATAGTCCCCTGATATATGCAACCCTCTAATTCGCCCCTTGTATATAAGAGGTTCTTGGATTAGAGCAAGATCAATGTCTTGTTTTATTATACATCGTTGTAGGACAGCTGTTGCCGCCCAACAGTGATGTATATTTGCTTGGATTACCTTATTATATTTTTTTAAAGATACCCCCTACTTCTTGATGTAGGGTCCTCTTCCTCCTTTGGCACGTCAGCCGGGTTAGACATCGGTGAGTGCCCTAAAAGAGTCCTCTCCTCGTCTTCACCTAGCTCGCGTGCTGTGGATTCTAAGTCCCCTATTTCCATTAGAGCCTCAGTCTCTTGTTCTGTAGCCCCACTTTCTTGTGGTTCTACGACCAAGGACTAATTCTCCTCTGGTATGTTATCTCCTACCTCAGTAGGTGTTTCTTTTCCCTAAGAAGTTTCAGGAGCAGCAGGAGTAGCCCGTTCCGTCTGTCCTCCAATTTCTTTTATGGAGATATTGGAGAAATTCAGGAACAGTATTCCCTGCCTCTCCTTTATCTTCTCCCAAGAGACGGAATCCATGGTTATGAAAAGTTGCTGTCCCCTGGGGTTCAACTTCCTTCCAGTAACCCTCCAGTTCCCCGTTTGGAGCCCCGAATTTTGGATTATCAGTCTCTTCACTATTCTTTCCGGTTCCACTGCGGGTCCCAGTATCCATGTCATAGTAAACTTGGGTTTGATTACTTCCCCAAAGTCTATGACTTTGAGTTTAGCACCATCCCAAGGTACCATGCTTTTGACGGTCTGCTCAACCCAATCTCTCGTTGCTTGATCAACGCAAGAAAGGTTCAAACTCCTGTTTCTTATCCTAGCTTCGGAGAATCTGGGTGAAAGTCCTCCTTCGTCTAGTTCTTCGAGTCTGTCGAGCAGTGCAGTCCTTATTAGGTCTCTCTGCTCCGCTGTTAGTGTATTATTGGGATAGTCTATTGGTACAATGGCTACCCCAATATTGCTTACTTTAGAGGCGGAAGAACACGATGCTACCGGCTCAGTCCCATCTGGCCCCACATTTGATGTAGTATCAGTTGGTCCCGAACCCGCAGCTCTCGCATCCTTAACCCTTTTGGTTTTTCCTTTTTCCGGCGTGCTGGTATCGGACCGGTTTCTCTTTTGAGCTCCGGTTCGTCCCTGCTCGCTGGACACAGCCTTAGCTATGTTTTTTTATTTTGCCATCCCTGAGGTACAAGGACTCGCGTTTTGTTTCATCTCTGTAGAGAAAGGACGAGACGCTTGCCCCCGTACCCCTGGTCCAACATTCGTTGGTCGGATGTTTTTTTGTTTTGCCATCCCTGAGGTACTAGGACTCGCCTTCCGTCCCATCACCGTAGAGATAGGGCCAGATGCTTGCCCCTCTACTTCTGGTCCAGCATTCACTGGCATAGTGGTCCGCCCCTGTGCCCAGTGCACTGATTAGATTTTGGGCAGTCAGAACATCTAGAGAGTACTTTATAGGGGCTCGTTTTTATATTTTATGGAATATATCCGTTATTTAAATTTAGACAAGAAAATTATTTAAATAAAAGTTACTTCTTATATTATTCTCTATAATTCTTGTTTTTTACAAAATTTTTCTAAAATGGTCCGTATTCGAGAAATTTGACAAAATGTAAAAAAATAAAATTTAATAAAAATTATTTAAATAATAGTTATTTGTACTATAATTCTTGTCACATACATAATTTTTCTTAAATAAACCGTATTCGAGATATTTGAGAAAAAGTGTAAATTTCGAATTTTCAAGAAAACTGGCCGACAGTTGATAAAGATATAGTTTTAGATGAAATATTAAATTAAATAAAAATATTGTTAAATAAACATACTATTTTATTAAAATATGTAGTTTTATTGTCTAAATAAGTTAAAATAATATCCGTGTATTTAAGAAACCCCATAAGTCATGATTTTCGATAAAATATTTTGGACTCTGAAGAAAAAAAGCACAAGTTATTTTGATACCATCAAATAGTAAACCAATCTCGCAATTTTAGAAAAAAAATCAATCCTTTGTCTCACACACAGACGATTTAAAAAAGTTTTTTTTTTTTAATTTCCCAAACTTTTACTTTTCTGACATTCTCAAATGACCGATTCAATAATGTTTACCTTTCAATATATTGACTCCTTGATTTTACACCTTTGTACTCAATCTAAATGTTTAATTTCAAGTTATTGGATTCTGTAGTAAAAATTTACCCAAATTGAAGCCAAAATCCCATTATGTCCTTACAAATAATGCTTCCGTGGTTTCACAGTGCACGAGCGTTAAACATACGCGTACTAATTCGACTGCATGCGCAGAATGCATATCGCGTCGGTATTCGGTGAACCTTTGCATCAGGACACCATTTTGTAATATATTTTCAGATGACAATGAATATGTTCTTAGCCACAATTTAGCTATAAAGCCTTGAATATGGCTGTAGTTTGTCAGTACGGCAGTATTTCTGCCCCGAAAGTTAAAATTCAAATTATTTAAGAACTCGAATATATTGGCTAGGGTAAGACAGACTTAGCTGAAATTGGTGAATGTTGAACTTTTCCAGGTTATTTTTATTTTGATTATTTTGTTCTAAATTTTTTTACTATTACAGAAATACAAGTACTTACACAAAAAGCCGAAGGAGACGAATTACAATCAAAATTAGTTTGCATGGAGCATGAAATTGAAAATCTTAAAGGTGTATCTGTGGAAAAACAGAGACTTATTGAAGAAAGGGACCATTTAAAACAAAATTTAGATGAATTAGTAAGAATGCAAGGTGATTTCGAACACATGAAAAAACAGATGAAATGCTTGGAGATACTAAAAGCTGAAAGGGACATGTTTAAATCCAAATATGAGAATTTAATCGGTCTGGAATGTGAATGTGATATTTTGAGAACACAAGTAGAAAAGGGAAAGGTTATCGAAAAGGAGAGAGAAACGCTAGAAAATCAAGTGGATGATTTGCAAACCTGTATTTTCGAACAAGAGGCCGAAATTCGACGCCTGGTTGGCCATATTGATGCGTTGGCTAAAGGAAGAGATGAACAACAAGTATGTATATACGTATTTTCTATTCTAACACAGAAAATTTAACCACACTGTTTAGATTTACCCTATATAGTATTAAGTTTTTATGGTAACATGAGTTGTTATTTCGAATATAATTTCAAATAAACGTCTTTCCAAAAACCCAAACCATCAATCCGTTCCATTTGGAGCCCGGATACGAAAAAGCGAAATATACGTCAAGGGTTAAGCGAAACAAAGCGATACGAAGTTACGGAAAGAAGCTGGGTCAAAAATCCTGGTCATACATACTGATTCGATTTTCAGATAAGTTAACTATAATTTCTTGTCATTTAAGGTCATAAACGCTCTTATAATGACTAAGGTTGAGAAAATATCTAAAATACAAGAGTCTTTGAAAACGTTTGACAATTTTCTTAAATCAATTGATACAAATGTCAAAGATTCAGGTATTTTGGATAAGGATATGAAAGTATAATAATAGAAATAGAAACGCGACTTTATAGAATTGAGAAGTTATTAGATACTTCAGATGATATTGTTGAAAAATCAAATGATACGATGATGTATTAAAATAGAAACAAAAACGAATTTTTGATGAATTTGAAGATCAGTTTTATAAAGTCACATCTAAAGAAAACTACTTCAATTTGATGACTCATATGAACCAATGGATTTGGTTTAGACATAAATTCAATGCACTTGGTCATTATAATATAAACCTGAGTAATATATGAAAGTTTCATTATCTACGGGAGAGTCTAAAGGGAAAAGCAGCACAGACAATTAAAGCGATTTAATTTGGAAAAAGGTATTATGAAACAGCATGGCTCACACTTTGCGAAAAACAAATCTCCAATCATATTAAAATAATTTTTGAATACGAAACTATTGCCAAACCTAACTCTTCTAAACTATCTGATCTTGTTGATACGGTGAGCAATAATCTGGAAATGATATAACAGTTAGGAGAGCCTACTCTTCGAATTGGCGGAAGACTTAAACATTCAGAGTATTTCTATAACAAAAACATCCTGCTTTGCTGTCATCTGATCATCATTTTACTTATTTAATTTTTAGAATCACCTATATTAAGCTAATACATGCTGGTGTCCACCTTTTATCAGCACATACTAGAGAAATTATTTGTATGCCTAAGGGTCGAAATATAGAAAAAAAAACAATAGATTGTGTTATATGTTCTAATAATTTTCAATAAATTCCAAAACCTAGTAATCGTAAGTTGAAAGTGGCAACAGGGCTTCCACCGTCACGTTATTTATTATAAGCGAATATCGCTTACACATTTATTCATTGATAAAATAAAGTTGTATATGCGTAAAATCCTTCTCTTTATCCCCTCTCTTACTTCTCACCTTTCGTCTTCTCACTTTTCGTCTTCTCACTGCGGACCAACAAAAAGAGTGTCGACATAATCTTGGCATCGTTAATATTATATTTTATCAATGAATAACTGGCTATATATGTTATCTCTGCTTTGATCTGTCGCATTTTTTGAGGCGCGTTGCAAGAGAAGATTTTCTAAAATGTTAGCCAATGTCTATAGATGAGAAAAAAATGCTTGTGACAAAATATTTATTAATTTTTCAAATATAATATGGATTGCCATCTAAAATATATATAGTGGCTCGCAAAAGTCTGCTTTTTATATGGAAAACTTTTTCTTGTTAGTTTTTTTCAGAAAATGTTATTCCTGATAAAACTTATTTAAACCTAAAGCTTTATTTATTTAAAAAATTCTGTACCATAAATATAAATTTGGCTGCGCAGTGAACTAGGTACTCTTCTAGGGACCCAACCCACATTTTTACTCATAAAATTAATTTAAAAAAATGTATATAACCCCATATAGTAGTTTTTAGTTAACACAATTAATATAGTTTATTATATCCTTTTTAAACCATCTTCAAAAAATAAGGTGGTTCTCAATTCTTCGTAATATTTTTTTATGTATGTTCAGCGATAATTATTCTTTAACACGGTGTCCGATTTGAATGATTCTTTTTTTGCTGGAAAGGGGGTACTTTAGGGGTGGTCCTATATTTAGTCAAAACCTACTAATTGGGCCCATGAGAAACTCGTTAAACTCTTCATTTTTAACCGACTTCAAAAAAGGAGGAGGTTCTCAGTTCGTCGTCACAATATTTTTTTTATGTATGTTCAGCGATAATTCTTTAACACGGTGTCCGATTTCAATGAATCTTTTTTGTTAAAAAGGAGGTACTTCATAGGTGGTTCCATATAAATTTAATTAAAATCTTATAATTGGGTCCATGAGAAAATCCTCAAATTCTTAATTTTTTTTATGTATGTTTAGCGATAATGCTTTACCACCTTGTCCGATTTATATGATTCTTTTTTTGTTAGTAAGGGAGTACCTCAGGAGCGGCCCCATATAAATTTAGTTAAGGTGTGGTGATGGCATATGCACGTTTTTGAAGTCGGTTTTCTTAAAATTTTAATTTCTAATACTTGTTTAAGTATGTTAAGCGATAATTCTTTACCACCTTGTCCGACTTCTGTGATTCTTTTTTTTTGTTAGTAAGGGGGTACCGCAGGGATGGTCCCATATAAATTTGGTTAAGATGTGGTGATGGCATCTGTTCGATTTTTTGAAGTCGGTCTTTTAAATTTCTTTTAATATTTGTTACGTATATTAAAAAAGTGTAATAATTTGGTGCTTTCTTGATGCGTCGTTTTATGATTTCACCTTATATATGTTTAGGTACAGATAATTATCATTATTACTGGCAGTTTATTTTAAATCATTAAAATAATATTTTGTTAATCCAAAAATGGCAAACAAAAAAGCCATGTCACATACAGTGTTATAATAATAATAATAATAATAATAATAATAATAATAATAATAATAATAATAATAATAATAATAATAATAATAATAATAATAATAATAATAATAATAATAATAATAATAATAATAATAATAATAATAATAATAATAATAATAATAATAATAATAATAATAATAATAATAATAATAATAATAATAATAATAATAATAATAATAATAATAATAATAATAATAATAATAATAATAATAATAATAATAATAATAATAATAATAATAATAATAATAATAATAATAATAATAATAATAATAATAATAATAATAATAATAATAATAATAATAATAATAATAGATAGATAGATAGATAGATAGATATAGTTTATTGACAACATTTACATACATACAGTTACGTTTGAAGTCACAAAATTAATATTAATTATTACATTAAAACAAATTTTTTAAAAGCCTACATTAAACAATTACAAACATTTTAAAATAATTTAAAAGGTCAATAAAGATCAAAAAATAAAACAATTACAAACATTTTAAAATAATTTAAAAGGTCAATAAAGATCAAAAAAAATAAAACAATAAAACCATAATACATTAGAGTTATGATAATGCGAATTTAGCAAACAAGTCACGAATTTATTCTCCTTAAGAATTCTTCTATGTTATAAAAGCAATGCTCAAGAAGAAACCCTTTAACAATTTTCTTAAACTTGCCTTTAGTCATGCTTTCAAAATCTTTGGATTCGAAGTATTTGCGAAAAGAGTTGTACAATGAAACGTCTAGAGAATTGTTTTTAGTCATTTGAATCCTTGATTTCTTAAAGACTATATCTTGTCCGAAACGAGTGTTATAGTTATGTATATCGTTGTGCTTATTTAAGTTATTTATGTTGTTATGTATCTCAAGTAGTGTTTCTAAGATATACATGGAAGGTAGAGGCAATATTTTAAGTTTTTTAAATATTGGTTTGCAAGGGGTGTTATGTGGAGAATTATCTATTAATCTAACTGCGGTCTTTTGTAAAACGAAGATTCTGTGAGCATTAGAGGAATTTCCCCATAACAGCACGCCATATGCAATATTACTATGAATTAGTGCAAAGTATATAGTTTTTAGTAAATTATCAGGCACAGATGGTTTTAGTTGACGCATTACAAATATTTGTGTTGCTAACCTGGAACTAAGGTAATCAACATGTGGTGTCCAATTCAGATTTGTGTCCAAATATATTCCCAGTAGTTTGACTGGTTTTGATTTTAAAGCCCATTTGTCTGAGCTTATGAGTAGATCATTAGTTTTCGACTCGTTCATTTTCAAACGGTTTGCCGAAAACCAGTCAGCTATCTGTCTTGTGTCTCCCTTTTGTTCATCGACCGAAAGAAAAGTGGTATCGTCTGCAAACATCACACAAAAATTTTCGATTGCACTAGGCAGGTCATTTATGTATATTATGAACAAAAGGGGACCTAATATTGAACCTTGAGGAACGCCACTAAAGGTAGGGCGCAATGATGATTCCTTATCACCATAAACTACATACTGCATTCGATCCGTCAAATATGAGCTCAATAGGTCTAACGCTTTTCCTCGAATACCATAAAACTCCAATTTATGTAATAAGAGATCCGTAGGAATGCAATCAAATGCCTTTGTTAAGTCGCACATTGTCGCTACTGTACTGTGGCCATCGTCAATATGTTTGACTATTTCTTCCAAGAAACAAATCAAGGCATGTATGGTCGATTTATTTTTCCTGAACCCAAACTGAAACTGTGACAAAAGTGACTTTGACTCAAAATAACAAATTAATTTTTCCTTTATAATAATTTCCAGGACTTTATTTATAACGGGTACAATCGCTATTGGCCGAAAATTGTCTGGAGAATCCACATTTCCTTTTTTATGTAACGGTAAGATTTTTGATATTTTAAACGAGTCTGGCCAGTATCCCGTTTCAATACATTTATTGAATAATAAAGTAAGGGGTTTGACCAGAGAAAGAATAGATTCTTTTAACATCTTGCTATTCATGTTGTAGAAATCTAGACATGTTGAGTTGCTTAATTTTCGAATAGCTTGTTGAACATCGCTTTCCAATATAGCGCTCATAAAGAAGGAAGAAGTGGGTTTCGTTAGTTTGTTTAAAAAAAAACTTGATTCAGACTTCGTGTGGCTAATTGACTGCAGTACTGTTTTTGAAATAGTCAGGAAAAATTCATTAAAGTTATCAGCCGAAAGAGATGAATTAAATGTTTTATTGGATTTGTTTTTCCTTTCCGAATTTATGATTTCCCAACAAGATTTTGGCTTGTTATCCGAATTATTTATAATATCGGCATATGCTTTCCTTTTCTCTTCCCTAATTGTTTTTCGATAGGTTTTCCTTAGAGTTGCATAAACATCCCAATCGTTTTTAGAACGGGTTTGTTTATACAATTTTTTTGCATTATTAACATCATTCCTAATGTTACGTAGTTCACTAGTAAACCATTTAATATTTTGTTTTTTATTTTTAATAGTTTTTTCTGGAAAGCATATTTCAACATTACTCTGCAGAGCGTTCATTAAGAAAGTTTCTATATCTCTAGCGCCAATAAGGTCTAAATTCATATATTCCCAAGATATATTCGATATATTATTTACAAAGTCCCTGATTCCCTTATTTGTTATAATTCGTTTCTTTACACAAATATTTTCTGAATTGTTCCCGTTGGACGACATATTAAAATAAATGAATTGACCATTATGATCGGAAATATGAGGATCGATTACCCCTACTCTAAAGAGATCTGGGTTCAGATTTGTAATAATATTGTCCAAACATGTTTCACTATTAAAAACTACCCTGGTTGGTTCCGTGATAGTGTAATTCAAACCATAAGTAAGAAGTATATTGCCAATTTCTTTAGCTTTGCAATCATTTTTTGGAAAATCTATGTTAAAATCACCAACTAATATGATATATTTATATTTAGTATACAAATATGCAAGTAGTTTTAACAAGCAATCTTTAAAAATAAGAAAATTGTTTCTACTTGATGACCTATATAGTGAAATCAGAACAGTAGAACAGTTTTTTAGTTCTATTCCACAAAATTCCGCATCGTATGGAACACAAAAATCATCCAAAGATATTGACTTGCATCTTACATGTTGTTTTATAAATATTGCCACACCTCCATGGGATTTTTTAGGACGGTTATAATCTGATACTAATAAATAATCATTTAATTTTACCACCTCTAAATTACACTTTTCTAACCAGTGCTCTGATATGCAAATAATTTCAAATGGATTTTCATGAAGAAAAATTGACAAATCGTGTAACTTGTTTGCTAAACTCCGCACATTTATATGAAAAATAGACATTACATATGAGCTATTTAAGTTATTTTTGGTCATTAAACTGCTGGGTATATTGGTTGAGTCTTTTTGACGGAAAAAACTCATTTATCAACACTCCGCTGGGCCATATTTCCGGTTTCATAATTTTATTTAATTCTGAGTTTGGTACAGATAATTTAAAAGAAGCGTATTCTTGAGGATAACGAGAGTTTAATTTCTCCAATCTTAGGCTTGGAATAATTACTTGTAAATAGTTGGTAAGTTCCTCGGTGGAAGTTTGTGGATCCCAGTTAGTGGAATGAAGATATTTAATTCCTTGCGACTCAGATGCCTTAAGATTTAGGTTCGAAGTAGAATTCATGTTGCCAGTAAGAAGGTTCCTTGGTCTCATTGCGTCTCGGGCTCTGAAGATGGTGTTGGAGTGGTGTGTGCTATGATCATTATTCAAATCTATAAATTTTTTACAATGATTGGAAGTGTGTGCAGAAGCAATAGCATTTGAAACGGAAGCATTTGTAAAAGGAACACGGCTTTGATTTGATTTCATCGGATTTTCCGAGCCATTACCATTCTCTTTTAACGACATAGGTTTTTTTTCAATCTCAAGAGATTGCACTGTATCCGGCTTACTGATACTATCTTTGAGCAGCGTAACTTGATCTTGTAATGCATTGATAGCTATCCCCTGGTTGAATATGATGATATCTTTATTCTTTATGATTTCTTCGAGAAAATTAATTTTAAGCTCAAGTTCCGTAGTGTTATTTATTGGTTTATCGTCAGTAACAGACATTGGTTCATTGTTAGCATCGCTATTTGCGTCGAGGCAGCAGTTGCATAGGTTTTCATCAATGATTGCGGCATTTTTTACCTTTAACAAGCAGCTTTTGTGCGAGAGCACTCCACAGATAATGCATTTCAAACCTGTGGTCACATTATTTTTACATCTTTTGCATTTATTGGTCCCATTGCTATTGCCTGTTCCTGTTGGCATATTTATTGGTTTCGAAAAAGACTAATAGTAATTTATTTAGTGCAGTTTGCTGTTCCCTTTCAGCAAGTCAATGTATCTAGGTAAAATATCGCAAAAAACACGATAACCGATAAAACACTACACTAGATTTCATGGAATATTTAATTAAAAATGTACTTTACCATCAAATTTGTATCTACCAACACGTATGTATACACGTAACACTTACTTGAAAACAGATATTATATTTTTGAAATTTAAACTTTAGTTTAGACACTGTTTTTTGACTTAAGAATATGCACGATCGAAAATTACTTCTGATACTTATAATTCAACTGCACATAATCAAAATAATAATAATAATAATAATAATAATAATAATAATAATAATAATAATAATAATAATAATAATAATAATAATAATAATAATAATAATAATAATAATAATAATAATAATAATAATAATAATAATAATAATAATAATAATAATAATAATAATAATAATAATAATAATAATAATAATAATAATAATAATAATAATAATAATAATAATAATAATAATAATAATAATAATAATAATAATAATAATAATAATAATAATAATAATAATAATAATAATAATAATAATAATAATAATAATAATAATAATAATAATAATAATAATAATAATAATAATAATAATAATAATAATAATAATAATAATAATAATAATAATAATAATAATAATAATAATAATAATAATAATAATAATAATAATAATAATAATAATAATAATAATAATAATAATAATAATAATAATAATAATAATAATAATAATAATAATAATAATAATAATAATAATAATAATAATAATAATAATAATAATAATAATAATAATAATAATAATAATAATAATAATAATAATAATAATAATAATAATAATAATAATAATAATAATAATAATAATAATAATAATAATAATAATAATAATAATAATAATAATAATAATAATAATAATAATAATAATAATAATAATAATAATAATAATAATAATAATAATAATAATAATAATAATAATAATAATAATAATAATAATAATAATAATAATAATAATAATAATAATAATAATAATAATAATAATAATAATAATAATAATAATAATAATAATAATAATAATAATAATAATAATAATAATAATAATAATAATAATAATAATAATAATAATAATAATAATAATAATAATAATAATAATAATAATAATAATAATAATAATAATAATAATAATAATAATAATAATAATAATAATAATAATAATAATAATAATAATAATAATAATAATAATAATAATAATAATAATAATAATAATAATAATAATAATAATAATAATAATAATAATAATAATAATAATAATAATAATAATAATAATAATAATAATAATAATAATAATAATAATAATAATAATAATAATAATAATAATAATAATAATAATAATAATAATAATAATAATAATAATAATAATAATAATAATAATAATAATAATAATAATAATAATAATAATAATAATAATAATAATAATAATAATAATAATAATAATAATAATAATAATAATAATAATAATAATAATAATAATAATAATAATAATAATAATAATAATAATAATAATAATAATAATAATAATAATAATAATAATAATAATAATAATAATAATAATAATAATAATAATAATAATAATAATAATAATAATAATAATAATAATAATAATAATAATAATAATAATAATAATAATAATAATAATAATAATAATAATAATAATAATAATAATAATAATAATAATAATAATAATAATAATAATAATAATAATAATAATAATAATAATAATAATAATAATAATAATAATAATAATAATAATAATAATAATAATAATAATAATAATAATAATAATAATAATAATAATAATAATAATAATAATAATAATAATAATAATAATAATAATAATAATAATAATAATAATAATAATAATAATAATAATAATAATAATAATAATAATAATAATAATAATAATAATAATAATAATAATAATAATAATAATAATAATAATAATAATAATAATAATAATAATAATAATAATAATAATAATAATAATAATAATAATAATAATAATAATAATAATAATAATAATAATAATAATAATAATAATAATAATAATAATAATAATAATAATAATAATAATAATAATAATAATAATAATAATAATAATAATAATAATAATAATAATAATAATAATAATAATAATAATAATAATAATAATAATAATAATAATAATAATAATAATAATAATAATAATAATAATAATAATAATAATAATAATAATAATAATAATAATAATAATAATAATAATAATAATAATAATAATAATAATAATAATAATAATAATAATAATAATAATAATAATAATAATAATAATAATAATAATAATAATAATAATAATAATAATAATAATAATAATAATAATAATAATAATAATAATAATAATAATAATAATAATAATAATAATAATAATAATAATAATAATAATAATAATAATAATAATAATAATAATAATAATAATAATAATAATAATAATAATAATAATAATAATAATAATAATAATAATAATAATAATAATAATAATAATAATAATAATAATAATAATAATAATAATAATAATAATAATAATAATAATAATAATAATAATAATAATAATAATAATAATAATAATAATAATAATAATAATAATAATAATAATAATAATAATAATAATAATAATAATAATAATAATAATAATAATAATAATAATAATAATAATAATAATAATAATAATAATAATAATAATAATAATAATAATAATAATAATAATAATAATAATAATAATAATAATAATAATAATAAAGATTTTCATATGCCGCCAATTTACGTAAACAGTTGGTGGCATGGGAAAGCTTATCTTATTTACTTATTTTGGAGCAAATTTGGTTTATAGATGTACTTTCGTACGACGCAACCTATTCGCGTAAGAAAATAAAACCAAAAAATTTTTTTTAAGTTTATTGAAATTGTTTTTGATATTTTGTTGAAATTTGGTAGGAACTCACAATGAGTGGAAACACTTTTTCTTGGGGAAAGTTTCATAAAAATATCTAGACTGATAAGAAACTTATGATAAAATAGTAATTTTTTTCTTAAAGCTATAACACCCTGTAACTCAAAAATTAAGAATTTTACATGTTGATATTAACTTTTCTTTTTAAAATCACGCAAGAATTCACACCCTATCGGCACTCAACTAATAAATACCCTGTATTAATTATTACCTTATTTGAACCAAACATCTAGTTTTTCGTTATTTGTATGTTGGTTTTATTTTGCCTATCTTTCACACCTCTATACTTCTAAACATAATTTAATCTAACTAAAGCTATTCACTAAATTAAAATATAAAAATTAAAAAAAAACCGACTTCAAAAACGTGCAGATGCCACCACCACATCTTAACCAAATTTATATGGGACCACCCCTAAAGTACCCCCTTACTAACAAAAAAAGAATCATTGAAATCGGACACCGTGTTAAAGAATAATCGCTGAACATACATAAAAAAAATATTGTGACGACGAACTGAGAACCTTCTCCTTTTTTGAAGTCGGTTAAAAATAATGTAAAACCCTCTAATAAATCGAACTGCGTTATAACAATAGAGAGATCGGGCAAGCACCAATACCGTGATACGCTAATTGCGTACGGAATTATTTGACATCTACGCAAGCGCATATCAAAATATTTACAGAATTACCCTATTACCGTTGTCGCAAAACGCTAATTCCGTAAATTTGCAAAAGGGATTTATGAAATATAAGGGAAGCCGAATGTATCCGAATTTAATATCATCCATAGTGATATGCCGCTTGTCATTTGTCTTTTGAAACGATTTCCCGGTTTCTTGTTTCTGTTTGGCTTGAATTTGTTTGTTTTGGCGTCTATTGTGTTCGTAGTAGTTTTAAAATGTTATATAGTGACAATTTAAACATTTTTTTGTAATTGTAGTTTTTTAAAGTACATTGGGAAGAGGCAGAATATTGCTGAATCATTGTTAGGAGTGTTTTATGGGAATTTATTATTTTATTTAAATCATGCGGTTCTTTATCATTTTCCAAAATAATATTTAGTATAATGAACTCTATATCATCATCCGCCTTTGCCAATATTGCTAATTCTAAAAAAAATAATCTACACAAATATATAAATCTAAACTACGATCTAAACAAATCAAAATGAAATGATAGAAACAAAGAACAAAAAGTGTCAAGTCAATGCTCTCAAAACAATGGTCAAATCGAAAATACCCGAAAATATAACGTTAAACCTAAAATAAATTTAGTCTGCCCGAACTCTCTACAAAATCACGTTTGCGTGCATTCGGTATTTCGAAAATAACGTAGTTGGTAATTAGCGTAAGGACCCTATTGGTGCTTGCCCGATCTCTCTAACAGCTTTGTTCGGCTTACTTTTGAGGACGGTTTAAAATCGTTATAATCATGGGCATTTAAATTTACGTGTTCGGGTTTCTCCAAATCTAGTCCTAGGACACTCTAGGATTGACTGTTTAGTGTGTAATTTAGTGCGCAACTAATTTCACGCAGTTATGAATCGTTCTGAAACGTTATAAAATTGGTAAGCCGAACAAAGCTATTATATCAGAATGCACCAAGAAAAACAAATACGATTTTGGTTTCCCTAATTTAGGTAACTCTGACTCACCCAAGAACTGATGAACGTCGGCAACTGTCCGTAGGATTTTTCGGTTCTTTGTCTCAACTTCGCGCATTAGAATTTGGAATCCCTCGTATCTACTTGGAATTGTTAAAGTTATGAATGAATGCGGATTTTTTTTAGTCTTGAAAGTAATTTTGTAGTATTTAGGCTCCACCCTTGAGTTTTAATTTGTATACCTACTAAACTACCGTTGCCCCGCAGGTCTTTCAATTTGTAATGTAAATTTTCCTCTTATTTTTAGCCTTTAGTTTGTGTACACCAAGTCTCGTTTCTTTAGGTCGTTAATTTCTAATGTTTTTTTTTATTTTAGGAAAAATTAAAAGAAGTAATAACAAATATGCGAGCTGAGTTAGAACAAAAGGACACTTTAATTGTATCAGCAGAAGAAAAATTGGCCACTTTACAGAAAGAATTAGGCAACTCAATTAATGGTTTGAGCACCGAAACAGTTGATTTAAAAGTTCAAAATGAAAAATTAGAAAAGCTACTTGAAAAATATGATAATGAAAATACAGAATTAAAAGAAAATATAACCGTCTTATTAAGAAACAATGAAAACTTAACTATCCAAATAAAAGATATAATGAATGAAAATAACTTTTTGTTAACAAAAGTGGAAGAAAAAGAAAATTCATTGAATACTTTAAAAGAAGTCCTTCACGATCATGAATACATTTTAGATGAATTTCAAAAAATTCAATTTCATTCCAGAGATACTTCAAGAGATATAGAAACTGAGACTGACGAGCTTAATTTAATAACGGTAGCTAGACAACAAAGTATAACTGTACAAGAAAAACTTACCAAAATAAGTAAAATAGCCGGAGATAATCATTTTCAACAATTATTACTACAATCGAAACAAGCTGTACAAAAAATTGCTAATGAACTAGAGAAGCAATACAATGATTGGGATTGCTTTAAAACTAAGCTTAGTAGTAATGGAAAAAATAACGACTCTGGAAGACTTTGTTCTTGTAACAAAGATATGTATATAGGATATTGTTTTACAAATGATACTGGTATACGTGATAAATATCAAAGAAGAAGATGTATGCGTGCATTACGAAAAAGAAAATGTTCTAGATATCCTAATCAAGAAATTAGTTCAATTAAAGATAGTGGAAAACGAGATAATTTCACAGGAATTGAAAAACCTGATTCAGTCCATATACAAACAGATATTGCAGGTAAATTGATACCTCACAATGTATGCTTTTCAGAAGTCGAATGTGAGGATAAGAGGGAAACACCTGTCGATGATAATTATCGTATCAAATCGAAGAAAATTCAAACAAGTGACGATGCTTCTACTTTTATAGGAGATTCTCTTAACCAACTATTTGAAAATAATGAAAACGAACCTAAAGTCAACCAAAAAGAAGAAGATGCTGAAGCGTTTGAATCTGCTCGTTCACTTGATTGTGCACTATGTAAGACTTTAGGAGAGCGACTTCAAGTACTCGAGAACGAATTATCAGCCACCAATGATACATTGATACAATTGCAAGATAAATTAGATAGAACTTCGGCTGAAAATGACGCTTTACGTCGTCATTCTGCAGAGGTACAAGAAGTCGCTAAGGATCAAATTAAGAATCTTGTTGACTTCCTTAAAGAATCTAAAGAAAAATGCTCTGGTTTGGAAAAAGAAAGTAACAGGCTTATTCAGAGTAATTGTACGATACTATTTGAAAAAGATCAACTTTTAAACGATATTATCAGACTTCAAAAAGAGAAAGATGATTTACAAAAAATGTTAGCGAACAATATAGTCGTGACAAATGAACTAAGAGACGAAACAATTAAGTTACAAAAACTGGAAAAAGTTATAAACAAAGTTAAACCAGATACGGCTGATAACGATTTAATTGAATCAGTTCAAGTGGAAAATACAAACTTGAAAAAAACAATTTCGGCTCAGTTTAAAGAAATTTCTAAACTGCTTGATAAAATAAAAACTCCTTCCATACCCATACCAATTCAAGAACATAAAATTGATCTTGACCAAGATGTTTTGAAAAAACATATCGATAATTTGGAAAATCAACTAAAACAATTGGAGGAAATAACTAAAACTGAAGTTTTCTCTGAAAACGTACATATTACCATAAACGATTTAATTAAAAGATTGGAAACAGAGGAATATAAAGCAGAAATAAGAGAAAACACTTTAAAAAATATAAAAGCAACTGATCCTGCAGCATTATTAAATGTAGAAATAGCAAAACTTAAACAAAAAATGTGCTTAATTGAACAAGACAATTCAAAACTACAAGAAGTTATTCTACAAAAAAACATAGAATTGGAATCACAGATAAATGTTTTTGATATAGTCCAAATAGAAAAACAAAAATTATTTAGGGACATTTTAAAATTACAGGAAGAGAATATAGAACTGAAAAGAGGTACAGCAGAATATTTAAAATTGGAAATGGAATTACAGAATAACGCAAATGAACTTAAAAATGCTACCGACAAAATATCATGCCTTTTAGTAGATGTTAGTACTTTGAAGGAAGAAGAAGTAACGTACTTAAAAGAAAACCAATGTTTAAAAACTGAAATAACAAGGCTAAAAGATCAACTTGATGTAACACTTAACTCTCTCACATTATCGTCTCTTCGATTTTCTGAATTGCAAGATGAAACTGCAAAATTAAAACAGACATATAAACAATTAGAAAACGATAACATAAATTTAAAAAAAGATCTAGAAAACACTGATACTTCTACACAAAATGTTACTGACAGATTAAATCAAGTCGTAAATGAAAATATTACATTAAAAGATGTAAATGAAGTAACTGCTCATCAATTAGCAAATGCAAAGAATGTCCTTGAAAATACTATTTTGGAAGCACGAAAATCATTAACGCAGAGAGACAGTCAAATTGAAATGTTAAAAGACCAGGTAACCAAATGTGAGTTTGAAAATTATACTCTAAAGAAAGATTTAGATGAAGCCATAAATAATTTAACTAAAAGTAATGATGAAGTTTGTCAATTATCACAGAAAGTTACTACGCTTTGTATGGAGAATGAGAAACTAAAAAATGACATATATTTAAGCAAAGCCGGTGAAGGAGATAATAATCTAAAAAGTGTCTTAAATAAATTAGAAATAGAAAATATAGAACTAACCAAAGAAGTTAATATTGGTTTAAAAAATCTTAATCTTGCAAATAACTCAATACAAGAAAATAAAAATAAAATATCAAAATTAGAATGGAAAATTTCTTCATTAGAAACTGAGAACGAAAAATTAAAAACAAAACTTCAAGCCTATTTTAAAGAAAATGGTAATAAAGATATTTTGAAACAAAAAGTTTCACAATTGGAAGTGAATAACAGGAAACTTAAACAAGACATTGATAAAAAATATAACGAACATGAAAAGGAAGTGCACATTCAAATTAATAACGATAATTTAAAAAAGTTACTAGTCGATCATGGAAACGACAGTGACCAATTAAGAAAGAAATATGAAGAAGTAATAATAGATTTAGAGAAAAGGATATCAGGTTTAATACAGAAGTCTGAAAGATTAGAAACTGAAAATAATAAATTTAAAACAGATTTTCTAGAATTAGAAAACGTAAAACTAATGAAGGAACAAAATGTGAAAACACTTTTTTATGACGCAAGCATTGCTACTGAGGATTATAATGTCAACGAAACGTTAACCAAATTAGAAACTGAATTCAGAAAACTTAAAACTGATCTTAACAATGCTCTTGCCGAAGCAAAAAAATGTAATGACTTAGAAAATATTGAAAATGTACTTAAAAAACAGATATCTTCGTTGTTATCTGAAAAAGAAGAACTGAAGAAACATTTTGAAAAGACCTTACAGTATGCAGAAAATAGAAATACCCGAGTTGAAAAGTTAAAAGAAGAAAATTCAAAAATAAAGTACAAAATCAAGCAATTGAAAGATGAAATAGAACATTTAAAAAGAGATCTTAAAAACGCCTTACACAATGCCGAAAAGTTTTGTGAAATAAATGAAAATCATGACGAATTAAAGCAAAAACAGAAAATATATGAGTTAGAAAATAATTTGGAAAAAATAAAGGAAAATTTTGATGCAGCATTGATAGAAGCAAAATCTGGCAATGAAATTGCCATTCAACTTCGTTTTGATAATTCAAAACAAAAACAACAAATTTCTGAACTTGAATCTGAAATTACCAAATTGACACATGTCGCTGGGACACTTAAAAAAGTTCATAAGGATCAAGAAGAAAACTTTAAAATAATAATTGAACTTGAAAAAGATAATTCCGTTTTGAATAAGCGTCTTAATGATACAGAAATGTTTAAATCACAAATTTTAAATGAAAATAACAATTTAAAATACAAATTGCAACAACAACAAATAGACATTGATAAACTTAACGAAGCCATAAAAACTCTTACAGACGAACGAAATGAATTGTTGGAAATTTTGGCGAAAGCAAAAGAAAACACAGTAAAAAATATAATGGAATCGACTAATTCAAAGTTCATTCAAAATTTAGATCCATCAAAAACACCACAAATTTTACATGAAGAGAATTTAGCTACAAATAAAAAACTTAAGCAAATGGAAAACGAAAACAAAACCCTAACAGCAATTTTTCAACATAAAACAACTGAAATTCAAAAAGAAGAATTTAGTAAATTATTAAAAGGGAGTATAGATAATATTGAAAAAATAAATGTAAATATTGACGGTGATGCAACCGCTTTGCAGTCCGATTTTTCACAAGAAGAAAAAGTATTAAACAATGAAAATTCTGTTGATGAATTTAATGAGAAACAGAAAGAAAATGAGAATAAAAAATTAAAAGAAATTCTGCAGAAAGTAAAACAAGAGTTGCTAGAAACAAATAATGATCGGAATAAACTGAAAAACTTACTACTAGACCAAAAAAGGAAAAGTAAAGATATAAAAACAAAAGTGGACCAAGTAGAAATTCTAATAAATAACGAAAGAGACAAATGCAAAGAGGAGCAAATCAAAAAGAAAGCATTGGAGGCGAAAATCAATCAGCTAAATGAAAAATTTGAAACAGTAAACAAAAAATTGGAACTAAAAAATATAGTAAGTACTGGCCAAAAATGGCCTTGAAATTGATAATAAATAGTTTATATTTTCAGGAACTTATCGAATTGAAAACTAAAATTGAGGTAAGAGCAAAAAATATCAGTTTTTTAAGTTTTTTAAATATCTATTTACTTATGTGTATATATATCCGGGAAAAAAGTATTCACTTTTTTCCCGGGGATACATATTTCATAAAAAGTGACATTTTGATACCTGGCAAGAGAGATAAAATGTCAAACTTTTTTCCCGTCACAGAAAAAAATACTTTTTTCCGTTATGTACATAGCTCTCATAAAGTCTAGATACCGCATCGTAAAAAAATTTTGAGCCCCAATATGATGGGCGCCATTTTGGGTAAATTTTAAGTTGGCACTACTGAGAAGACAGAATGGGCGCAAGTTTAGTAATAACCTTAAGATCGGCATTCGACGTTTATAATCGATTTTATTATCGGTTGTGTTGTTTATTTTGTTCTTCTAGTAAATGTTTTATTTAAAACATTTTTTAGTTTAGTCGTTTAGTGTATTATTTTAATAAAAAATATTTGTAGTTTGGCGTTCAATTTTTACAGAATTTTTAAAATGTCTTGTTGTTTTGTACCTGGATCACGGTGTACTATAAAGGTGTTTCAACTCCCTGAAAAAAACATACCAAAACCGGTCGTACTTAGGGCAAAAATCCGCTAGGTTTGCTAGTGTCGTTACGGCGGAAAATTGCGGCAATCTTTTTATCTGTCAGAAAAAGTGAAATCATAAAAATAGTTCTTCTATGGTAAAAATTCGAGTTTATATGAAATGAAAAATGACAAAACTATTAGAAGAAGTACAGATGAAAAAATTAATGTTAAACAAATAAGTTTATTGTTATTGATGGTTGCTGATAAATGTTTTTTTTTAAACAAGTACACTGATGTGTGCGTTTATACGATCAAAAAAAGTGTTCAAGATTTAATAAATATACACCAATTAAGTTACAAGTTACTGCCAGAGACTTGCTACTAAATAAGTGAAATGGGTGTGTTTATAAAAAACAGCTGATTTTGTTTTGTGTTCAAATATTACCTTTGGCTTTGGCAAAAACAGCAATACAGTGGGTTACTGATTATAAAATGAAGAAGTGGACCTTAACTATGGTACTTAGATTGAAGCTTATTATTTTTAAAGTGAGTTTTGTGATTTTCAATGCCCAGATTAAAGATATTCTATAAACATTTAGTTTATTACCTACTATAATCAAATCCATACATAGTGATTGGAATTACAAACATTTCTGTGAAATAGCATTATACCAAAATAATGAAGTCTCACTGGTCTGGAGTATATATGTTTCCGAAGATCAGTAAGTACCTATATCAATTATTATTATTTTTATTAATAAGTATCAGTAATAAATACATCTCAAAGAATAAGAAGGTTGTAACTGTACTTTTTGGAAAAAATGAGATTGGTAGAATATATTAAGTAATTTGTTTTTGTGACCAATATGTTCATCTGTTAATAATTATCAATGTTGTGTTATCGAAGCACTAAAGTTATTCACATGGTTCTATATGTATGTACATAGAACAGTTTTTAGCAAGTGTCATTATAGTAGTTAGATCTTCGTTATTCCCTAATCCCTAACAAATGTAGTCTCCATCCTCCACAATTATATTAAGATTAAAGGCCAGGTTTTTTACCTCTGAATAAAGTTGAAAGTAACTACTTGCTGATTAGGCTATAGATTATACTTACCCGTAACTTTACTCAGAGGTTAAAAAATCTGTCATTAAAAGAACAGTGAGTTTTAGAGCATAAAACGTATTAAATATAATGGGCATTTTTTTTAAAACTTTTTGTTTTTAAACAGTTTTGATTGAAAATTATAAAAATAATGATATTGGATACCTAGAAAGATTTATAATATAAAACAACATTTAAAAATTCTGAATTAACAAAAGTATGTATTTTCTGTTCCAAGTGTTGTCTCCGTTACCTAAACTAAATACTAGAAACAAAGTTTTAACTGGCAGTTACTACTATGCTTTATCAAATATTCTAAAAAATGTAAGTCATTTAGTTCTTTCGCATTTTTTATCACATAGGATTTTCTCTTAAATTAGAGTTAGAAACACAATGAAAATCAAACAAGTTATTGGCGATACAAACTTCAACTATGATTTCCAAAAAATAACTGTCTGTCTAGGTACAATCTTGTTATCCTAATATGACAGATGTAGTTGATTTATATAAATGTGAAAAACGTTTCACGTTCTGCAATGCTAGAAATCTTAATTAGGCATCAAATTTGTAAAATGTTAGATAGTATGTAGGTGATATTAGAAAAGTCAATCTAATAATAATTTATTTTGTAATTAATTTTGATCCATAGACAGGATTTCCCATTTGACCATTCTATGTTGGGTTTTAATTAGCAGTGATGTCCCTAAAGTGGTGCAAACAGAAACAAAGCCTGCACAAAACACTCATAAAGAAAAAAAAATGAAATTATAAAGTATTGTGGTAAATAGACTTACTTGTCTGGTGTCATACATACACTGAATTTTAGTATTTTCTGATATCATATTTAGTGGATGAGATATAGCCATTGTAAGTTTTAAATTATCACTCCATACACAGAGGGTATTTCACTTAAAGTGAACGAGATAGTAGGGAGTCTAAATTTATGATGATCTTAAAGCCGATAGTTGGATCAGCTGGACTAATTAAGTTATTTGCAAAATCTCCTGTTGGAGTTGCTGACTCTATTGAAGTTCAGTAAAGAAGAGGAGTTGGAGTAATATGCTGAAGATTAGTAATGTGTCAATTCTTACAAATTTTTCCCGACATCTGTAAATGTTATAAATAATTAAAATTTATTATAAATTATTATATTATTATGAATGATATACAAATATTTTTTATATAAAGTGGGGCACCATATACTAATTGGAATATACCAATATTTTGAATAACATAAAAATTAAATTTGAAATAATATACTAAAAACAGTTATTTTGGATAATTATTTTTTTCTCTATTAATTTTAGTTCTTAGTTTGTTATGTTAGCGCATTGCCTCATTATAATAACATCGTAATGGCTCCAATGGGCAATAACATCATCCATCCTTATGTTTGGCACAGGGAAAAGTCATTATAGCATCCATCATAGACCTTTATAGTTTCATATTGAACGTTTTTTACAAAGTGGTATTCAACATGTTTAAATAAAGTAACCAAACCACTATTTGGATTAATTAATTTTCCATGATTTCATAAATTAATCAACTCTGCCTTATTTAAATATGAATTAGTTTCCTTTGCGTCGAAAATTTTTAAGCATTCGATACAAAATGTAATTTTTTTCATGTTTTTCACAAATAGTTAGTTACATAATAGATAATTGTGTCTATTAGAAAATGCATAGTCATGATCTAACACTTTTTATTTTTCAACTAATTTTGTAGATAAAAGATAATGAGCATATATTTAAGAAAAATAAAGACCTGCACTCATATGATACTAGATTAAAATTTAACATCCATCAACCTTTTTCACGACTACAAATAAGCCAACATTCACCAAAATATATTGGGATTAAGTGTTAATAAGTTCAGTAACATATTAGAAGATACTACAGGTTATCATCAAATTAGTCCTAATGATTTAAGAAAACATCTTAATGATTTTCTTGTAAATAATGTATTTTATAGTATAGAAGATTTTTTGAACTTTTAAACTAATCTTAACATGAATTGTCTATTATATATATATTTTATTTTTTAATGTATTTTACTTAACACTTTTTTGACTGGTCTGATAGGATTTTACATTATGTACCTAGTACATAATGTAATAGTGTATAATTCTCAAAGATGAATAAATTGTATTTCTATTTTTAAATTAAAAACGTCATCCCCCCATTCAGTATTTTCAATTAAACTATCCAATTTTGCTTCAACTGCATATGTTTCTCAGAATATGATGTATCAGTTTTCTGCAGAAAGTAAATTTTGGGAAAATTTATCCTGAACTGTGCAGTTGTCATATTTTGGTGGCTTCAGTAAATAAGTAGATATGAATTTATATAATTATTATTAAAAGGGTAGATAAATTAGGGTGGTCGCACTGAACATAGAATATATATCCATTTAATAAAGTATTTCCCTTATAACATCTAGAATTGATAAAATTGTATAAATTTACAGCCATGAACAGTTTGTAGACATTGTTCCACATGCTCAAATGATTTTAACATATTCTGGAATATTTTATGCTGTTACGAGCAATTGGCACACGATAGAATGAAAAAGCCAGAGGCGTGGAGTGCCAGAATTCAAGCAAATAGATAATCTAGAAATATTGGGTGGGTTCCCTCCACAAGATTATCGAGAACTTGTAAATACAATGTTTCAAAGAATTATTGCCGTTATCAAAGTTAAAGGTGATGTAACACTGGTGAAATTTTGTAAATATTAAAAAAAATTAAAAATTGTGTATCTAAAATATTTTATCAAATTTATGTATGATTTCTTCTTGTAGTGTCGGTCACTAAAAATCTGAGAAGTGTGCTAATTGAAGCAGGAAAGGGCTCGTAAAGTTTTTTTTTAAAAAGTAAACCTTGTCATAAAAATGATTATTAAATTAAATTATTGAAATATATAATGTAAAACAAATTGTTATACTGTTTTTCTGAAATCGGGAGCGTTGTCAGGTTTTTTAATGTCTGCTGCTAACTGTGATGCATACAAGTGAACATAATAAACCTACTTATTGAGTACATTAATATGAAAACCCCATAATAAATCTGGAAACTATACATTTGAAATTTTCCTACTTATTTTTTCATTACTGCTATTATCTAAGAACATTTTCTAAGCTTTCATGTATCATTTTCCACAAATAAATATAAAAAATTAATTAGTAAAATTATAAAATGAGTTCCAATTAAATAATGAACTATATTATTAATTTTAATTGTTAATATAAGAAATGAATAAATTAAGTAAGTAAAAGTGTAATAATGGGAAATGTGTAAATTGTATTTATTTCCAATTTTAAATAATTTTGTGTGTATTGTTAATTTTCTTTCTAATGTAAAATT